GTCCCCACAAAGAGGGGGACACCCCGGGGGATGTTTCAGGGGACCCCCTACCTGCCGTCGTGCTTGCCCAGCGGCTCGTCGTAGCGGACGCCCACCCAGTAGCCCGGTTTGAAGTCGGTCTGGCCTGAACGGGGAAAAAGGGGGGTGTCAATGTGTGGGGGGAGGATTTGGGGACAAATCATAGAATCATAGAATGGTCCAGGCTGGAAGGGACCTCCCCAGTCAGCAGGGACACCCCCAACTAGACCAGGTTGCCCAGGGCCTCATCGAGCCTCCCCTTGAATATCTCCAGGGATGGGGCCTCAACCACCTCCCTGGGCAACCTGTTCCAGTGCTCCACCACCCTCACAGTAAAGAACTTTTTCCCAATATCCAATCTAAATCTGCTCCCCTCCAGCTTAAAGGCATTGCCCCTCGTCCTGTCACTACAGGCCTTTGTAAACAGGCTCTCCCCAGCCTTCCTGTAGGCCCCCTCAGGTCCCGGAAGGCCGCTATTAGGTCTCCCCAGAGCCTCCTCTTCTCCAGGCTGAACAACCCCAGCTCCCTCAGCCCATCCTCGTAGCAGAGGTGCCCCAACCCCCTGATCATCCTTGTGGCCCTCCTCTGGACCCTCTCCATCAGGTCCATGTCCTTCCTATATTGAGGCCTCCAGACCTGCACACAGTATTCCAGCTGAGATCTCACCAGAGTAAAGTGGCAGAACCACCTCTCTGGACCTGCTGGCAACGCAGCTTTTGATGCAGCCCAGGATGGGATTGACCTTCTGGGCTGCAAGGTCCCACTGCCTGCTCATGTCCAGCTTCTCCTCCACCAGCACCCCCAAGTCCCTTTCCTCTAACCCCTCACCCCCCAGACTGTACTGATGGTGAGGATTGTTCTGGCCCAGGTGCAGAACCCTGCACTTGCTCTTGTTGAACCTCATGAGGTTCACCTGGGCCCACCTCTCCAGGTCCTTCTGGATGACATCCCATCCCTCTGGTGGATCAACAACACCACACAGCTTGGTGTCGTCCCCAAACTTGCTGATGGTGCCTTTAACCCCCCTGTCTAGATCATTGATAAAAATGTTAAACAGTGTTGGCCCCAGCACGGCCCCCTGGGGAACCCCACTTGTGACTGCTCTCCATCACAGGGCTCACTCCAAGGGTCTGGGGACGCTGTGGGGACACGTACCCACGTACATGACGGTGGCCAGCCTGCAGGGCTGTCCCGGCACCCGCACCTGGCAGCGGGAGCCCAGGGGGATGGTGGAGGCCACGGCGGCTTCTTCGGCCTCTCGCTGCTGCTGCTGCTCCGCCCGGCGCCGAGAGCCCTCCTCGTCGTAACGGCCCCACTGCCGCTGGCGCAGGAAGGAGCGCAGGGTCTCTGGGGGGACACACACACCACGGCGGGGGGCTGGCACCACGGTGACACCGTCCTCCAGGGGTGGGGGACATGGTGGGGACGTGGGGGACAGGGGACGGCTCCTCGGGTTGGGGGGACGGGGAAGGGATGGTGGCAATGTCACCATGGGGGCAGGATGGCCACCTCAACAAGGGGGACAGGGACACAGTGGGGACAGGGGACATCTCCTTGGATTGGGGGGACAGGGCAGGGATGATGGCAATGTCACCATGGGGGACAGGAGGGCCACCTCAACAAGGGGGACAGTGACACAGTGCGGACAGGGGACGGCTCCTTGGGTTGGGGGGACAGGGCAGGGATAGTGGCAGTGTCACCATGGGGGACAGGGGGTGGCCACCTCAACAAGGGGGACAGTGTCACCACGGGGGACTGGATGAACACCTGAACAGGGGGGACATTGAGAGTGTCACCACGGGGGACAGGGGACATCTCCTTGGATTGGGGGGACAGGGCAGGGATGATGGCAATGTCACCATGGGGGACAGGAGGGCCACCTCAACAAGGGGGACAGTGACACAGTGCGGACAGGGGACGGCTCCTTGGGTTGGGGGGACAGGGCAGGGATGGTGGCAGTGTCACCATGGGGGACAGGGGGTGGCCACCTCAACAAGGGGGACAGTGTCACCACGGGGGACTGGATGAACACCTGAACAGGGGGGACATTGAGAGTGTCACCACGGGGGACAGGATGGCCACCTCAACA